ATGGAATGAAAAGGGAAGAAGGAAAAAAAAAAGAAATAAAGGAGAAGAAAGAGAAGATATAAACTCACGCTCCAGGTAACGGTGATGCCCCAGAGAAAAACAGGGGAAAATCAGGCCTCTCGAATCTGAGAATACAAAAACGATTAGACAACAAAAGTTGAGTCAATAAGTGTACAAAACTTCTTAGAGAGCAATATTGTGAATCAATGAAGTCAGACAACAGTGTAAAACTGAACAATTTATGCTTTAAATCATTGCTTTTGTTATCATATAGTAGAATTCTTTACAAAAACCTATTTTATTTACTCTGAAAATGTAAAGCCCTAGAACGACTTCCAGGACTTACACTATTTATCTCATTCTCATACAGTATTATATCAACAATTCATACAGTTACAATTCTAATCATTAGTCAAACTTAACCACCACTATTTTGTTAAAAACTAATCACAACGACTATCACATTACATCATTACGTTTCCCTCTCATAACCGCCAAACCATCCAGATTCTTTCTTATTTTTCCGAAAGGATTTTCCCACCATTGTCTTTGCAATGGAAAGGAATGAAAAGAATCCTCAAACAATCAGAATCTTACTCTTTAGGATCCAAATTAAGTAGCTCGGCGACGGAATCCGACCATGCAACTAGTTGAGGATTATCAACCTCAGCCGATGGAGATACTTTTGTATAACAGGAATGCAAAACCTGCATATAAAATGCAATCAGCACACATTACTGGGCATCCAGTATGCCCATTTATAAAGTGTTCACGAGTAAAATCACACCAATAACAAAGTCTCCCAATATAGTCTCAACATCCCATCTAAGGAGGCATGAAGTTCATTACGTTTCAAGGATCTACAAGCACAACCAGAACTAAAAACATCTACTTTCACCAGATGAATATTTAGAACCAAAATCATAATGTCTCAGGACTATCAGACATAAGCTACCAATAAGTAATGACTTGAAAATCTAAATAGAAATATTTTTTTCCCAAATTCAAAGGGTCATACTTCTAAAAGGATAACCTGAAACAGAATAATCTGCTTAGCAACATCTACAAATTAATCCCAAAAGCTCATGTGATATGAGAATCTAATAGAATCAAACCTCTCGGGGGATCGAATCAAGCCTGGGATCACCGGGAAGTTCACGAACAAACGAATGGTCCCACTTCAATTCTTCCAGCTTTAACCTAACCCTGTTCTGCCTAAGATAATCAACATCCGTACCATTTCTAACAACGTCACAGTTATTGCCGCCGTTATTGTATTGCAACCTCTGATTCTTCAAATCCTCCGATAAAGTGTCGATAGAGGACGCGGCGGGAGTAGTTCTCTCCATCGAGACGACGGTGGATAAGTGGCGCCTCCGTAAATTAAAGCGATTGAAGGGGGGAAATAAGATTTTCTGCCGGAAAGATGAGCGGAAAGAGAAGGCGGAGGTGGCGACGGTGAGGGAAGAGGAGGTGTGAGTAAATGATGCCGAAATCTGGGACAACATTTTATTCGACTGATTTCAATCCCTATGTATATGTACGTAGTATGTTCTACTTTCTTCGGATGATATTTTTCCTTTGAATTTCTCTTCTCATGAAGTGTGCAGATATTATTAATATTTAGTGTAAAACCAATAGGAGAGTATAATTGAGTAGAGAATGGAAGATATTTTTTTGGGGGACAATTTCTTTTAACCTCACTATATACATTGTCTTTCTTTTACGCATTTTTAATCAAAATACAGCTCGTTTCACCTCAAAACTTACGAAATGATATGCGATATAAAAGTTGCATATCCAAATAAGCTGCATAATTAACAATTATGTGAAATATTGTCGCATATATACGAACGCAAATCCAAATCAACGGATAGTTAAATATTATGTGAAATACTTATGTATATGTTGGCAAATATTTTCGTTGATCCATATCATGAATCACATATCTGATGAAAATATTTCGTATATTATTTGCATAATTTACATACCGCTTTGTTTCTGATTTTTCACGTAAAAAATTTGGCAAATGACATGTATGTATTCATTGAGTAGATGTACATAAACCACCATTTCTACTACTCATAATCTGTGGCGTGGATTGGACCGAGTATTCTATTGCCCAAGTACGTGAAATGATTCAGCAGGATTATTAATTCAATGAATTTTCAAGTTTTCTAATGATTTCAGGCATCCTAGTGCGTGGTGTTGTTGGGCTTGTTTGTGTTAACCACATGTACTGGTTGTATGTGGGCGAGGAGGTAAATTGGTTTTTAATTTTTGTTTGTTCATTCATTTTTGCGACACGGTTGTAACAAAAAAAAAATAAAAAAAATTAATACACAGAAGACCGAGGCTCAGAATTTTTTCTACTTTGTGCGGTTTCCTTTTCTATCGTGAGAGTTACAAGGTTTTTACGGAGTGCAACACAGCAGCGATCGTCTTAGAGGGTGGGCCTGGTGCTTCGGTTGACGACTCAATCTGGGGAAAAGACATAGACGATGATGACACTACGATGACGGTGATGATCAAGTATGTGTTAAAACCAATGTTTTGAAAATTGAACGGTTCATCGAACCGGTGATGCTTCTGGTTTAATGGTTCAGTGGTCGAACCGGTTTAATTAATATTTAATTTTTTTTATTTTATATGTATAATATATAATTCTATATAGTTTTATCATTAATTTTATAGGACATAATACAATTTTCTATCAATAAAAGTTTAATAATAGATATAGTCGACGATGTTGAATAATGTTGATATTTTCTTATATTATTTTGTATATTTGATTTATATTTAAATAGATACAACCGAAATATATATTTTCATTTTTCAATTAGATTATAATTTTTTATTCTTTTCAGTTTTTTTTTTCAAAATATTAGCAAATCCCAAACACATATTGATACGGAAATCATCAAATAATTAAAAGGAAGGGGTAATCAAATAATCATCAAATAATACAGTTGTACAACATATTAGAAGAAAAAAAAAACAATAAAAAGAATGAAAAAATAAAACAAAACAAACCAAAAGGCACAGCCACATAGCACACTCAACAAATTTGGCCCACATTGGTAAAAGAAAGGAAAAGAGATTGTTATTTAATTGATGACCTTGTGGTTATCAATCAGCATCATACAAAGCCTTGGAGTGAGCCGCTCAACCGCATGAACCGTGACCGGTTTTATCGGTTTTTGACCGGTTCAACCGGGTTCTACGTCGTTTGTGTTTAGAACGGTTTCATATACCAAACTGGACCGGTATACTGTCTGGTTCCCGGTCCAACCGGTTGAACCGATCGGTCCGGTCTGGTTTTCATAACTATGGTTAGAACAATATTGGGTTCTACCCTGTTTGTGTTTAGAACGGTTTCATATACCAAACCTGATCAGTATACTGTCTGGTTCCCGGTTGAACCGGCCGGTCCGGTTCGGTTTTCATAACTATGGTTAAAACAATATTTTGCATGGTAATGAAATCCGGTTCGGTTTTCATAACTATGGTTAAAACAATATTTTGCATGGTAATGAAATCACCCAGCACGACTTAAGAGTCCATCAGTCAAAGACCAACTGAATCAAGACTACACTACAGTCTTTTTCCAGCAGGGGTGTCTTTTTCCAGCACGGGTCATATTCCTTCCTGAGCTCATCCCAACAGGGGTCCAGCAGGGGTGTCTTCTTCCAGCAGGGGTCATATTCCTTCCTGAGTTCATCCCAACAGGGGTCATATTTCTTCCTGAGCTCATTTCGGGAGACAGGGGTCATATTCCTTCCTGAGCTCATTCCAACATGGGTTATATTCCTTCCTCGTATTTCTTCCTGAGTTCATTTCGGGAGACAGAGGTCGTATTCCTTCCTCATATTCCTTCCTGAGCTCATCCCAACAGGGGTCATATTCCTTTCTGAGCTCATTTCGGGATTTCGGTAGACAGGGGTCATATTCCTTTCTGCTGAGCTCATTTCGGGATTTTGGGAGACAGGGGTCATATTCCTTCCTGAGCTCATCCCAACAGGGGTCATATTCCTTCCTGAGCTCATTTCGGGAACGTCATCACCCAGCACACTGAGACATAGTGACCGTAACTAATTATAACAACACATGATATAAACATTATCATTTGCCAAAATACTGAGTATGTCTTCTTAATAATATATAAATCACCATTGGTAAATCAAATAAACAAGTAATGAGTATATATGCCTGTTTATTACATTACGACTTAAGAGTCCATCAGTCAAAGACCAACTGAATCAAGACTACACTACAGTGTTTTTCCAACAGGGGTCTCAATGTCTGTCTAAACTGTGAACAAATAGTCTAAGTCCATCAGTCAAAGACCAACTGAATCAAGACTACACTATAGTCTTTTTTCCAACAGGGGTCTCAATGTCTGTCTAGACTGTGAACAAATACTCTATCTTACAAGGAACTGATATATGATCAGGGGTCTCAATGTCTGTCTAGACTGTGAACAAATACTCTATCTTACAAAGAACTGACATATGATCATTCTGTTAGACACATCGAACCATACTATCTACAATGTAAGATAATGAGTTATGATTGCATAAATAAATACTGCAAACATAAGTACTTTGACTAAAACATGATCGCCAGATCAAACGGAATTGTCAATATATGAAAGCCAAGCTTTTACAGCATATCTTAACAAAAACCGACTAGGCAAAATTATAATAAAAAGAGGTCAAAGCTTAACGACGAGCATCATAATCTTGCGCAAGACGGCCATCATAATAATTTCAGTTTATGTTGCGTTTACAGTCAGTATATTTTTAGTATATGTTCACTTTTATTTACAAAAAAGTACTCAACAACTGAAAACATAAACCAAAAATATACTGAAAGAACCATGACAAAAAACAAACATCCAATCATTAGTTCTTATTTACCAATAAGAATTATGACAAAAACCAAACATCCATTCACAAAAAGTACTCAACAACTAAAACATAAACACACGACAAAACTACAAATAAAAACGAAACACAAAACATTAATATCAATATCCAAACACAACATAAACAATAATCAACAAAAAAAAAATTTCACATTTGTTGTCTCATATTAATTTCATCGTCAGCAAAATAATTTGCTAATATACTAAACATCAACTATACATAAACATCATATAAACATTAAAACAGATTTGATCGAAACTATACGTATGTCGTCGTTGCTCACAAGTAGGACTGTCGTTGCATCATTGAGATTCTGTTGACAACCGTTCCCGAGACGAGCCCACAGCCACAACCACAGTCGATCGTCTCTGATGTGTTCAACGGATCACCGCCTCCACCTGTTGTCGCTTTTGGATGAGCCACACGAACCACTGCCGCTCGAAAGCCAGGAAGTCGTTCATCTCGTCAAGCCGCCTTAGACAAACTCCGCCAGCTCGACCCTCCACTTCCGGTGCACGATAGATCGAGTTCCCACAGCGCGTCGGTGTTGCTCGCAGATCCTTGACCTCTCGGCCGCCTCCGACAATGGTTGTATGTCAACATCGTCGTCGTTAGAGATGTAGTTGTATGCTCGAGGGATCTCTTCATTCCAGCCACCACATCGCTCTCACGTCTCTGGTCACGCCGCTGCTAGTCTCGCGACTCATGTTGCTCCCCAACGAGAGCTCGATCTGTTTAGTGGNAAGAAGAAGAAGAAGAAGAAGAAGAGAGATGACGTGAGACGTGTAGAGAGAAGAAAAAAAATAAAAGAAGTTATAAAAATTAAATCCCATTAAATCATGTGACTTACCAATTGTAAGAAACTACCATAAATAATTATTAATTGAATACAAATATGACTAGACTTGAATTTTAGTATATGTGCAAATAAATAGGATAAATTTACTAATTTTACTAATAAAAATATATGAGGTGTAAATATGTAATTAAAATAAATTCTAATAGGCAGCTAGGTAATTTTCTCATTTTTAGGTTTATAGTGAAATGCAAAGGTGTTACGAGCATTAAGGTGTGTTTAAATTTATCCAATTCATATTCAATTCATACTTAAAATTTAACTCAACTTTAACCGAACTCCACAATCTTCAATTTATTAATATAATTAAATAATTTTAAATAATCATTCTTAAACATCACATAAATTTTAATTCATTAATCATTTCACTCATATAATTTTAACTAACAATCAATTCATATTATACCTCTCCTACTTTTACATCAAGTCATCTTTAATTATTTTATTTTAAATATTATTTTAATGTAACTTCAAAATCTCACTAACAATTAACTTTATCAATTTTTTCAAAATTAATCATAATTAACAAAATGAACTCATTTTGAGTGAAAATATTTGTATACAAGAACCCCCTTACATATTTTGCGTGTCTAATTTGAAATCTGGATCCATGTACTATGGTAAGAAGTGCTATATTTAATTGTTATTTTCATAAAAAAAAGGTTAGAAGAAAGCATCGAATCATTTATTTAAATAAAATAAACAAAAAATCCGTGGACAAAAATAATTTTAAAAAAAAAGTTTGTGGAAAAAATTCAAACAGCCGGATTCTCAAAATCCGTTTTTCATTGAAACACGGATTCTGAGAATCCGTTTTTATTTATTTATTATTTTTTATTTTCATTTTTTTTTATTTTTTGTTACAAAACGGATTCTGAGAATCCGTTTTTATTTTTTGTTAATTTTTTATTTATTTATTTACTTTTAATAAAAAAACATAAAAACGGATTTTGAAAATCCGTTTTGAATTTTTAATTATTTTTTATTTATTTTTTATTTAAAAAAAATAAAAAAACTTAAAAACGGATTTTCAAAATCCGTTTTCTATTTTTATATTTTTTGTTTTTTAAAAGATAACGGGCGATTACACTATACTTGACCGAGATTGTAGTAATTCGACTTCAATTGAACTAATTCAAGGTCGATTACACTATAATTGATCGAGATTGTATTAATTTGACTTCAATTGGACTAATTCGAGGTCGATTACACTATAATTGACCGAGATTGTACTAATTTGACTTCATTTGGACTAATTCGAGGTCGATTTTACTATAATTGACCGAGATTATACTAATTTGACTTCAATTGGACTAATTTGACTTCAATTGGACTATAATTGACCGAGATTGTACTAATTTGACTTCAATTGGACTAATTTGACTTTATTTGGACTAATTCGAGGTCGATTACATTATAATTGACCGAGATTGTCCTAATTTGACTTCAATTGAACTAATTCGAGGTCGATTACACTATAATTGACCGAGATTGTAATAATTTGACTTCAATTGGACTAATTCGAGGTCGATTACACTATAATTGACCGAGATTGGACTAATTTGACTTCATTTGGACTAATTCGAGGTCGATTACACTAAATTGATCGAGATTGTACTAACTCGACTTCAATTGGACTAATTCGAGTTCGATTACACTATAATTGACCGATATTGTACTAATTTGACTTCAATTGGACTAATTCAGGTCGATAGTGTAATCGAACTCGAATTAGTCCAATTGAAGTCGATAGTGTACAATCTCGGTCAATTATAGTGTAATCGATCTCGAATTAGTCCAATTGAAGTCAAATTAGTACAATCTCGGTCAATTATAGTGTAATCCAACTCGAATTAGTCCAATTGAAGTCAAATTAGTCCAATTGAAATCGAATTAGTACAATCTCGGTCAATTATAGTCTAATCGACCTCGAATTAGTCCAATTGAAATTGAATTAGTACAATCTCGGTCAATTATAGTGTAATCGAACTCGATTTAGTCCAATTGTAGTCGAATTAGTATAATCTCGGTCAATTATAGTGTAATCGAACTCGAATTAGTCCAATTGAAGTAAAATTAGTACAATCTCGGTCAATTATAGTGTAATCGAACTTGAATTAGTCCAATTGAAGTGAAATTAGTACAATCTCGGTCAATTATAGTGTAATCGACCTCGAATTAGTCCAATTGAAGTCAAATTAGTACAATTGAAGTCAATTATAGTGTAATCGAAGTCGAATTAGTACAATTGAAGTCAAATTAGTACAATCTCGGTCAATTATAGTATAATCGACCTCGAATTAGTTCAATTGAAGTCGCATATTAGTACAATCTCGGTCAATTATAGTGTAATCGACCTCGAATTAGTCCAATTGAAGTCGAATTAGTACAACCTCGGTCAATTATAGTATAATCGAACTCGAATTAGACCAATTGAAGTCGAGTTAGTACAATCTCGGTCAATTATAGTGTAATCGACCTCGAATTAGTCCAAATGAAGTCAAATTAGTCCAATCTTGGTCAATTATAGTGTAATCGACCTCGAATTAGTCCAATTGAAGTCGAATTAGTACAATCTCGGTCAATTATAATGTAATCGACCTTGAATTAGTCTAGTTGAAGTCAAATTAGTACAATTGAAGTCAATTACAGTGTAATCGAACTCGAATTAGTCCAAGTGAAGTCAAATTAGTACAATTGAAGTCAATTATAGTGTAATCGAACTCGAATTAGTCCCATTGAAGTCGAATTAGTCCAATTGAAGTCGAATTAGTACAATCTCGGTCAATTATAGTGTAATCGACCTCGAAGTAGTTCAATTGAAGTCGCATTAGTATAATCTCGGTCAATTATAGTGTAATCGACCTCGAATTAGTCCAATTGAAGTAAATTAGTCCAATTGAAGTCGAATTAGTACAATCTCGGTCATTTATAGTATAATCGAACTCGAATTAGTCCAATTGAAGTCGAATAGTACAATCTCGGTCAATTATAATGTAATCGACCTTGAATTAGTCTAGTTGAAGTCAAATTAGTACAATTGAAGTCAATTATAGTGTAATCGAACTCGAATTAGTCCAATTGAAGTCAAATTAGTACAATTGAAGTCAATTATAGTGTAATCAAACTCGAATTAGTCCAATTGAAGTCGAATTAGTAACAATCTCGGTCAATTATAATGTAATTGACCTCGAATTAGTCCAATTGAAGTCGAATTAGTACAATCTCGGTCAATTATAGTGTAATAGACCTCGAATTAGTCCAATTGAAGTCGAATTAGTACAATCTCGGTCAATTATAATGTAATCGAACTCGAATTAGTCCAATTGTAGTTGAATTAGTACAATCTCGGTCAATTATAGTGTAATCGAACTCGAATTAGTCCAATTGAAGTCGAATTAGTAACAATCTCGGTCAATTATAATGTAATCGACCTCTAATTAGTCCAATTGAAGTCGAATTAATATAATCTCGGTCAATTATAGTGTAATTCGACTTCAATTGGACTAATTCAAGGTCGATTACAGTATAATTGACCGAGAATGTACTAATTTGACTTCAATTGGATTAATTCGAGGTCGATTACATTATAATTGACCGAGATTGTACTAATTCGACTTCAATTGGACTAATTCGAGGTCGATTACACTATAATTGACCGAGATTGTTCTAATTTGACTTCAATTGAAATCCGCTTTATCCATTTATAATTTCTTTTTATTTTTTATAATCCGTTTTTATTTTTATTTATTATTTATTTATTTATTTAAAAATAACTTAAAAACACATTTTCAAAAAGAAAAAAAAAACTGAAAAATAGATTTTTAAAATCCGTTTTTCATTTTTTTAAATAAATTAATCAAAAATAAATAAAAAATAAAAAATAAAAAAAATAAATTTTGAAAATCCGGCCGTTTGATACATTTCCACAACATTTTTTTTTTCCAGATTTTTTTTTATTTTATATAAATAAACCACCCAGAAAGCAGCAGCTGGTATTTCTGATAATGTAAAATGAACTTTATATGTACACTTCCGGAGTTTGGAAAGTGGGCCCAATATGGAATTATTTATTTAATTTTTTTTTTTATTTTGTTGTAATGTTGTTGACTTGTTCGCTTATATTATTCACGGATGGCTTAAATTATTTCAATCAAGGTTCGAGTAATATATAGTATTCCACTTATTTCATCAAATTAACATATTGAAATAATTAGTATATATATATATAGAGAAATGATCATATGAGAATGATTCTTAATGCGAGAAATGAGAATGAATTTGGGTCATTGGATCCAACATATCAATGATCATGATCAAGTCAAACTATGGTCAATCATTAATGGCAATCTGGTAATTAGTTGATTATAGTGTGGTCAAATATGTGCATTTGACCAATAATTAAGGGTAAGTTGGTCAATACTAATTTATTATGTGGGACCCACTAACCAATTGAAAATCTAATATTTATTTTCATCACCCTCCTCCACAATTTAGATACACACACACACACACACTACATGTGCCGCTGCAGGACCACCGCCCGCCGTCATCCACCAGCACACCTCCCGCCACCGCTAGAGATCTTACAATACCACCGCTGCTGGTTCCGTTCCCGCCGTCAATGAACTCGCCGGAATCACAAACCACCACAAACCAACATCTCCGCCCATCTGCAACCTGCCACGGCAACTCCTCCGCCCACAGCCCCGCCTTCGTAAAAAATTGCCGCCTCCGCCGTCGCTGAACCGTCAGGACCACATCCCGTAACAGCCTGTTGGTTGTCCGTCCGCCATCTCCTCCAATTTTCCGTCCGCCCACAGACCCGCCTCCGCCACTAATTTCTCCCACCGCCGTCGCACGCCCTCTTTTCAGCCGTCCGATTCGGTGACTGACGAAGACGAAGATACGTGCTTGCTGACGGAGATGAGGCGTCGAGATGGCTGACATAAGAGGCGGCGAGCAGGTGGACGGTGGCTGTGCAGTACGGCGGCGGAAGAAGACGAGGAGTTGTGTCACGGCGGCTACGCGACGCGACGGCGACGGCGGTCCGGCAACGGCTCCGTGTTGTGCGTGAATCGATGCCGCCGGCGCTCTGAAAGAGATGGACGGCCGGGAAAAAAAATCTCCACAAGGAATCTTTGAAATGGATTGTGTGTTCTTTTTGTTTTTTGGTAAATTAGTAAATTATAGGGACCAATTTGTGATTTTTAAAAAATCTTTAATTACTAATCAATATAATTGTTGATTAATTATATAACCTACTAAAAGTCTATTAAATATAGAATGTTGATAAATAATTTTAACAATATTTGTATGGTTATTCAATATAAAATTTCATAAATTTTAGTATTAGTATTTTATATTTTTTAATTGATATTTTATATTATGGTTTGACTAAAAAAAATTAATATATATGTTGACGAAATATAGTGTGCAATATAACAGTTACTAAGGTGCAATTCGTCCAACAATATGGTGCACGGTGTTGGTCTGTATTGTGCAGATTGAACCATCCGGTCAATTGTCCCAACATCACATTGAAAATGAACAAAATCAATTGAGTTATTTGGTTCGGTGAACCAAATTATTCTAATAAAATCGAAATAATTTTTTTATTTATATCAAAGTTATAATTACTATATTAATATTTTTATTTATGATTTTTATATTATTTAAGGTTGACAAAATTTCGAGTTCGGCCGATTTCGATTCTTATTGTGCAATCTGATAGCATGTTAAAGTGCAACGTGTTGTTTTGTAAAGTGCAATGCGTTGTTTTATAAGGTGCAACATACTGGACTATTGGTTTGTAAAGTGAACTACTTTAATTTTGGTACGTTGATATGCTCGTGTTTTGTGTGGATAAATGATTTGATTGATGTTAAAGTTTTATGTATATCCATTTTTTAGATTTATATTGTATTGTATTTTGGCGGGACATATTTCACTTTAATCGTATAGTGTGATGATAAAGTGCAACGCGCTGTTTTATAAAGTGCAACGTGTAGTTTTATAAAGTGCAAGTCCATGATACATAAAGTGCACTAATTTATACGATCACGTATAAGTTATGTGTTTTTGAAATCTAGAATTAGTAGATATAATTGTACATTGAAATAACCTAAATAATGTAAATAAATTATTATTTATTATTAAAAAATTATATTTAGTATTTTAATATTTTTTATATTATAATTTTACATATTAAAATTTTTAAACATTATTTAACTTTATTTATCATTAACATGAATATATGAGAATAATTTAAATTTAATACACATTATATTTAAAAAATATATGTAAGATATTAATATTTTATATACTAATTTTATACTATTCTAGGCTTATAATACAAAATAAATATTTGTTATTTAATACAGGCTGGGTTCCATCTTGTAAGATTCCATCTTAAATCTATAAAAAAAATATATTTATTTTGTTTAATATTTGTTATTCAAAATCTATAAAGTGCAATCGAGCAGACAATAATGTGCAATTCGTATGACATTATTGTGCAATCCAACTAACTATTATGTGCATTCAACATTATTATATATTTTAATTTTCATTTTTTATATTAAAATAATTGACATAATTTATTATTTATATTATATAAAATCAGTTATTAATTCAAAAAAATTATTTTGCATTTTATATTATTTTTTATATTACATTAACATTTTAAGTTATTTTATTTAATGTTTTTATAAATTATTTTAATATATATGATAGCAAATTATAAAAATAGTATATATTTATAATATTTTTATAAATTACAGATTTGACCCTGGTACTAAATTGGAATATATTAAAACTNAACGAGAAGAAACGGCGGCGATGACGTTCCTGTTCTCGGGCATCGGCGACGTCGGAATTGAGAGGCGACATTGACGGCTCGATGGCTACGATGGCGATGTGCGGTGGCCGGTGGTGAGTCTGGTCGAGCAATGTGTGTGTGCGTCGTGTGCGTGTGTGTGTCTGATAGGTGTGCGTGTGTGTGATGCCGGCGGATGAAGGTGGTGACGCCGGACAACTATGGCGGGCGGGCGGCGGAACCGAGGATGACAAGGCGGCACTGGGCGATGGCGGAGGTGACCGGGTGGTGGCCGTCGATTGTGTGTCTCCGTCTGTCTCTGTGCGTGTATTGTGTGTTGTGTGTGTCCGTGTGTGTGTGTGAGAGAGAAAGAGAGAGAGATGGTGAGGTGGGGTGGGTGAGAGATGGGTGGGGTGTGTTGACCGAGTGATTAATTGATTGGGTAGTTGACAGGATTAAATGTGTAGTGGGATCCACTTTTTTTGGGTGTCGTGTTGAAAATTACCAAATTAACCTTAATGAAGGTATAATTTTAGTTTTTTTTTAATCCTTAGATCGTCCGATCCGATGATTAAGATTTATTCTTATTTTTCTCGCATTAAGCACCATTCTCATGTGAGCGTGCCCCTATATATATATATTTGTATCTTTCATTTATTTGTAGCATGGATATTATGTAAGAATACTATACAACATTTGACAAAGTTCAATACATATCAGTAACATATAATATTGTAAATACTTTTAAACGTGCTAACTATGTTGCATTAAAATACTTTACTATAGATAATTTCATGTTACCATGCACAATCTATATAGATGAAGGTTAAGCATTTCCTTAAAAGAGTAAGTTACAAAATTTATTTTAAATTATTTTTATTAGGAACACTTTTTAAAATTTTTATAGTAAATGCTAAAAAAAAACTATTACCATTCTTTAATTTTCTAATAATACATTAGTTTATTTTTATAAGTTATAAAAGATAAATATAACTGATATATCATTTTTTTTCATTTTGAATTTTTTGTTGCAAATTACAGTATTAAGTTTTGAACTTTTGTTACAAGTTAAAATTTTAATAATTGATTTTTTCATATATAATAACTATTTAATCGAGTAATTTAACAAAAAATGAACTCAAAATTTTTACTAATTAATTCATGATAAATGAGATGAAAAAGATTTATGTGACATATTTTAAAACTTTATTAGGCTATAAATAAGTGAGAGCATATGCCGATACTCAAAATTTTTACTAATTAATTCATGATAAATGAGATGAAAAAGATTTATATGACATATTTTAAAACTTTATTAGGCTATAATAAGTGAGAGCATATGTCGATTTTCACTTAAGTTAATGCCAACTTTTGTCTTATTACACTTAAAATTATAGATTTTTTACTTTATACATTGTCAAAATCAAATTAATAAATAAAAAAATGATTAAAATATTTTGTCAAAAAAAAAAAAAATATAGACAACACTAAAAAATGATCAAAATATTCTGCAGTTGTGTTTGTGAGTTTTGTAGTTTTTTTATTTTGTGTGATTTAGAGTTTGCTTCTAGCGTTGCTAGTTGGGACTCTAGGCGGTCTTCTGACATGTCCTTCCAGTTTTTCAGCTGTTGGTTGTTATATTCAGCCAGGGGCTGTGTAATTTGCACATTTGTGCGTTTTGATTTACAAAATCCTCTATCGTTTTGGAAAAAAAAAGATATAATTGAGTTGTTATTCTGAGCAGTTCGTGAACACAACTAATCACTCTGACTTGCGAAACCTCTTGCTTTGCTGATTCGTTAACATAAATAAATCGAACTCGAACAAGTAATCAATCTTGTTTATTAAACGAGTCAAGTCGAGTTTGCTCACTACTAACAACGCATTTTTTAATTTGTTTGATTTTATACAAGTTTAAAATGAAACATAGTCAAGCCAAGCCGATTCATTTACTAAACGAGCACAAGCTCAACATGAGCTACTTAATTCGACACGGCTGAATGTATAACGCCCTTAGATACATTATAATGTTATTTTTTCTTCCTGTTTTTCAAAATAATGTGAAAAAGAATGAATAATTTTTTTTGTTTGGAAATAAGGTAAAGCATAACAATAGTCGACGTAACTTCATTCATCCCAGTGATTAAGGTCCCTTTATATTTCTTTAATTGAATGTCAAAGTAAATTTAAATAAGCAAATTTGATCATTGTATTTTTATTTTTTCAAGTAAAGTATCTTAATTCTACCCTTTATTATTCGAGTAGTTTTTTCTTCGGGAAATTGCCCGAACCTCTGGAAGTGGAAAGAGGGTAAGCAGAACTGCTGAAAGAGATTAAAGCTGCAATGATGCCGCTTTGATGCTGCCTTGGCTGAATCCCTTGGGTACGAGCATTGAATGATTGATTTAGGTTTGATGAAAGATCAAAGAAGAGGAAGAAAAGAAAAAAACAGGAAAGATTTCATTTCAGAATGAGAGAGAAGATGGAAAGCACAAAAGTGATGTTACATTAGGGTTTGCCTTGTATTTATACTCTAAGGCAAACAACTAAAAGTGTTGAGACTAAAACACGGTTTTCCTATGCTAAAAATACAACTGTATGGAAAACAATGAAAATTACATAAGAATTAAATAAAATAAAACCTATTTGCTATTATTANCCCCCCCCCCACACACAAGAGGAGCATGTATGTTACACATGTTCATCTTGGAACTGATATGAGCAAAGGCAGCAATGGGTAAAGGCTTTGTAAGTATATCTGCCAGCTGGGCTGCTGAAGGTACATGGCTGAGAGAAATGACACCTCTGCTCACTTTTTCCCTTATCAAATGACAGTCTATTTCAATGTGCTTTGTCCTTTCATGCAAAACAGGGTTAATGGCTATGCAAATTGCTGATTTACTGTCTGAAAACATGGAAACATGTGTACTGTGAGGAATATTAAGATCAGCCAAGAGATATAAAAGCCATTGAGCTTCACAAGTGGTTGAAGCCAAGGCCCTATACTCTGCTTCAGCAGAGGATCTGCTTATTGTAGCATGTTTCTTAGATTTTCAAGACACTAGAGAGTTGCCAAGAAAAATAGCATAACCTGTTATGCTTTTTCTAGTGTCTAGGCAACCAGCCCAGTCACTATCACTAAAAGCATTTAATTGAAAAGATGAGGTTCTAGGAAAGAGGATACCTTGTCCAGTTGTTGCTTTTACATACCTGAGAACCTTATGAGCTGCATTCAAATGTTGTTGGGTGGGCTGTGACATGTGCTGGCTTAAGCACTGTATGCTGTATGACAAGTTAGGCATGGTTATTGTGGGGTAGAGTAATCTACCCACTAACCTCCTGTATGCAGATGCATATGATGATGTAGCAATGGTTAACTTGGTGTTACTGTCCATTGGAGTTTTTGATAGTTTGCAATCAAGATAGCCAGTGTCATGTAAAATGTCAAGTGCATACTTCTTTTGGCAAAGATGAATGCCCTTTTCAGAATGGGTGATTTCTAAGCCTAGGATGTACTTTAGTTGACCTAAATCCTTAATGGTAAAACAATCATCCAAATGCTTTTTAATTCTGTTTATTTCAAAGAGATTGTTACCAGTAAGGATTATGTCATCTACATACACAAGAAGAGCCAGAAATGAAGTGGATGTATGCATAATGAATAAAGATGTATCAGCTACTGACTGTTTGAATCCATAAGTAAGTAAACAAGTAGTGAGTTTGTTAAACCATTGCATTGATGCTTGTTTGAGGCCATATAAGCTTTTAACAAGTTTACAAACTCTTGTGTCAGTAGGTGATGTATATCCAGGGGGTGGGGTCATATATACCTCTTCCTCAAGATCACCATGTAAGAATGCATTATTGACATCTAATTGATGTGTGTGCCATTGTTTTATAGAAGCAACAGCAAGTAATAATCTTACAGTAGTAATCTTAGCTACAGGGAAAAAAGTATCAAAGTAATTTATGCCCTCTTCTTGGATGTAACCCTTGGAAACTAGTCTAGCTTTATACCTTTCTATTGTGCCATCAGATTTGTATTTGATCTTATACACCCATTTACACCCTATACAGTTTTTATTTTGGGCCAACTCAGTTTAAATCCAAGTTTTTGTGTTTTCTAAGGCAGAAAGTTCCTTGTTCATAACTTCTTGCCATAAAGGGTTAGATGCAGCCTGTTTATATCTTTTAGGATCTATATTGGCAGAAGTAGAAGCAGTAAAACAAGCATGCTCAGTGGATAAGTAATCAGTAGAAATGTATGCAGACATGGGATAAGGTGTTGTAATGTTGAGTGTCCCAGAAATGTCTGTAGAAGAAGATGTGAAAGAGGATAAAGAGTGTTTATAGGCATTTAAGTATGAGGGTGTAGATCTGTTTTTGGCTGACCTCCTTAAGGTAGAAGGTAATGAAGTAGTAGCAGGTTCTGAGGTTTGTTGTATGTCTGAAGTAATAGAAGTGGTAGCAGGTTCTGAGGTTTCTTGTATTTCTGGAGTAATAGCAGGTTGATGAGGTGGCATTGGAACAAGTGAGGGGGAATTAGTTAAATGTGATGGTGTAGGTTGTATGTAAGAGGGTCTGTTATCATGAACAAAAGGTGATGGGGGTGGAAAGAGTATATTAGAGGCAGGTTGTTCTGGATTTTTGAAAGGTAAAACATCTTCATAAAACTTGACATTTCTGGATATTATTCTTTTCTTGGTATCGAGGTTGTAAGGGGTATAGCCTTTACAACCTGAGGGATACCCAAGAAGGATGCATTTAGATGCCCTTGGGTCAAATTTTGATCTGTTTGAAGACAATGTAGAACAATAACATAGACAGCCTATGACCCTCATGTGATCCAATGATGGGGCTTTATGATATAGTTTTTCAAAAGGTGAAACATTTTGTAAGACAGTAGATGGTAACTGTTGATAACATGAGCAGCAGCTAAGATGCAATCTATCCAGAATTCTAATGGTAAATGGGCATGAAATAACAAGCTCTAGCAACCTGAAGCAAGTGTTGATATTTCCTTTCTACTCTCCCATTTTGTTGTGGTGTTTCAACACAACTTCTTTCATGCACAATACCATTTGTGAAAAAGAAATCAGAAAGGATAAATTCTGTGCCATTGTCTAACCTAATTCTCTTAATTTTCTTTTGAAACTGAGTGTAAACCATGTTGTGGAAATGGATAAGAGAAGAATTAGTGTCAGACTTTGAGCATAAAGGGTAAATCCATGTGACTCTTGTTAAGTCATCTACTATAGTTAAAAAATATTTATGGCCAGAATGAAAAGTAACTGAGAAAGGTCCCCAAACATCACAGTGAATAAGATCTAAAGCAGGAGGGGCAATAGATTCACCTATATGAAAAGGTAACTTTTTCTGTCTAGCATAATGACATACATCACATGGTGATTGTGCAGTGTCTTTGGTATAGAAGTGCATATCTTCAAAGAATTAAGTTTATGAAATGATAGATGGCCTAATCTATTATGCCAGATAGTAGATGAAACATTATGTGCTTGTGTAAGAGTAACATCACACATATGAGATACAGTAGCATTGTTAGATACATCATGAGATACAGTGACAGTTTCAGATACATCAGATATAATGTTGGAAGCAATAGAAGAAGAGATATTATTGTCAGCAATTGAAAGATGGTAAAGTCCAGCTTTCACTTCAGCAGAACCAATCACTGTTTTGGTTTGCAAATCCTGTAAGACACAATTGCCAGAAATAAAATTGACCAGACAATTATTTGTAGAGGTTAGTTTGGAAATAGATATGAGATTGAATGTAAAAGATGGAACAAAGAATACATTGAGTAGCACAAGCTTAGGTCCCAGATATATTTGTCCCACATGGCTAGCCTCAGTACTTTGTCCACTTGGTAAATGAATTTTAGTTGAAATAGGAGTAGGTTTTGAAGTAAAAAGGGATATGTCACAAATCATGTGGTCAGTGGCTCCTGTGTTCAAAATCCAGGTGGTTTTGTTTAAAGAAGATTGAGTTAAACACGAATATGAAATTGAGGTACCTGGAGTATTAGGTTGAGTAAGGACAGTGGCTACCACAGGGGCTGGAGAAGGACTAGTTCCCTGCTTGAGCTCATTTACCTTTTTAAATTCCAAAAACTCATGAAACAATTGGTCAGTCATGGTGTTATCACTGTTCCCAGATGAGTGTTCAGAAGGAGGGTTTTGAGTGAAAACAGAATGGGCTTGGGTTTTGTTTGGATGAACCCTAGGGCCTCTAGGACCTATCCAATTTTCAGGATAACCTATCACTTGAAAGCACCTCTCTGAAGGATGATTATAGCCACAGTGATCACAAACAAATTTCTTTTTGTCCTTGTTTTGAAAGTTTGAAAACTTTGAATAGGACTGGTTAGATTTTGCTAGCATGGCCAGAGATTCAAAGGATTTAGTGGTGCTATGTAAGTTTCTCTGGCTCTCTTCTTGAAGAAGCAGTGAGTACACTTTGGTAAGAGACGATAAAGGAACAGACAACAAGAAATGACTTCTAGCAGCAGAATAAGAGTCATTTAGACCAATCAAGAATTTCATAACAGCATCTTGTTGTTGAGCAGAGACCATAGAGTAAAAAATGTTACAGGTACAAGATGTAAAGGCACCACAAGTACATCTAAAAACAGGTCTGTAAGTGATGTATTCATCCCAAAGAGTTTTGAATGAATAATAATTCTGTGTGATAGATGTAGACCCTTGATCCATGGTACTTAGGGATTTTTCAAGTTGAAACACTCTAGGTCCACTACTAAGAGCATACCTAGACTTAATTTCATCCCAGACATCACGAGCAGATGTAAAAAACAAAAGAGACTGGCGAATATCTTTCAAAATAGAATTCAGCAACCAGGATAACACAAGCTTATTCGCACGGGTCCAAGCAAGATATTGATCAGTATTATCGGGAGAGGGAACAGAGGTTGTACCATCAACAAAACCAGATTTGTTCTTAACTGAGAGCGCCATTAAGACGGATCGAGACCAGGAAACGTAGTTCTCACCGGTAAATTGATCGGCGACGATCAGTGCTCCAGGATTATCGCTCTCATGGAGATAGAACGGAGAAGCCGGATCGTCAGTCAATCGAAGATTCGCCGAGGTAGACATCCAGTGATGATTGCTCGGTCGAGGTTCACAGCAGTACAAATGGATTCAACGAAGAAGCACGATTCCAAGTTGGAAATCAGAAACCCTAGATGCAGGTTCAGATCTGACAAATCGGTCAAAAAATCGAACAAACGAAGAAAAATCAACAAGCGTATAGAACGAGTGTGCGGAAGCGAGGATCTGTAATCTGTACGATTGACACCATATCAGATTTAGGTTTGATGAAAGATCAAAGAAGAGGAAGAAAAGAAAAGAACAGGAAAGATTTGATTTTAGAACTAGAGAGAAGATGGAAAGTACAAAAGTGATGTTACATTAGGGTTTGCCTTGTATTTATACTCTAAGGCAAATAACTAAAAGTGTTGAGACTAAAACACGGTTTTCCTATGCTAAAAATACAACTGTATGAAAAACAATGAAAATTACATAAGAATTAAATAAAATAAAACCTATTTGCTATTATTAAGTCATCCATGCTTTTGGAGGAGCAACTATCGTCCTAGGTTTCTCATCTTTTATTCTGTGTGAAATCATGTACAATGTGATATGGGACAAGCCTTGAAAGGTTCTGTTTGAATCCACTCTCTAACTACTTTTATTAACTCAATGATGCCTTTGTAATTTGATTTTCTGAAGAGATAAAGATAGCTCTACAATGTATACTGAATTTCAAGATCGCATTTTCCACAATTTAAGTTGTTTAATTTAAAGTACTCGATCAATCAATTGCAATTTGCAACCATTTATATAACTACATGTGTTGCGTTCATGAATTCGAATAGGGCCTGTATTTTCAACATTCATCCGCACATTTTTTTTTTCTTTTCTTTTAGGTACTATATATTATTATTTTCTTTTTACGTGCTCGGGATTTGCATAATAACATTATATTTTTCACGCAAAGTGTTATCTAATAAAATTTTGAAAAGTTAGCAATTTAGCATCATAATGTTATAGATAAGTTTGACAACTTTTAAAGCTTTCCTGATACTAATTTATTAACCGGCAATGTTCCCAAAATATCCAATTTGAATGTATTTTTCTTTCGAAAAGCCAGCAGTTATTTATATGATATATATATAATAGAATTCTTAAAATTTTATGAATCACTTACAGGTTCACTAAGTATATAGTTTGTTCAAGAAATATGACATATATTTACATAATAGAATTTTGGAACTTTTTTAAATCACTTATAACTGAATACTAATTATGTCCATGTTACCATCGTTAGTTGCTTTCTGACATTTTTAGTTATATTTATATTGTACTCTGATTATAAATAAATTATTATGATTTCCTTCGTCCCTACATAAACCCAGCAAATGATACGAGGTGAGAGCCCAAATCTCGTAGAATATTCCAAACCTTGAAGAGTCCTAATCCTAACAAAATTTTGAACATGTCAAACGGAAAAACTGGAGCAAGTATATAGGATTCTGTTACGCAATTCGTAAAATTGTTATATATTTAGAACTTTTATGCTCTCCGAAAGCACTCTTAATCTCGTAATTCTTCAACGATTTGTCAGTATTAGTCCTTTTATGTTTCTTCATAATCGAAAAACAAAAAAGAACTAAGCAGACAAGATTGTGCATTCATTAGTACGTTCACCTGAGTTAGCTATCAACTTTACTGTTTTCACCCATAAATGACAATAGGTTTTTCCGGGCACAAATTGTTAGTGGCTCCCGTACTTATCACCGTCCGATCATCGGAAGCTGGCACCATTCCTGAAGTTCTTCATCAGTCTCTTGTCAAGTTCAAGGAAAGGTAATATTATATAATTATTATAAAATATATTGCATAATTATATAATTGGATGAACCTAGCTACTTTAGTTTTACCTTTATTTTGGCTTTTGTGGTAAGATTCTGCTATGGCTATAGCTGATATTTATTGCACAGATAGGATGAGTTAATGAATGTGGCCAGTGACAATTAATAGATTCCAATGAAAAGGAGTCTCAAATGGAGGGAAACGAAATATGCAGCGATGTATTTATCAGAATATATAAGATTTAAATCGAAATCCACTCGTGTTTTGAAATGTCCAATGAAAATAAGCAGTCCATTTCAATTCTTGCTCATGCTATTTTCTGCAACAGTATTTCCCCTGTTCAGGTGATTAAACCTGTCGTTTTATTGCAATTCTTTTTCATTCGGTATAGACATTAATTTAGTGCCAACTATATTTTTTTTCTAGGTCAGTCTTTAACGTTGCAGTTCTTCTTTCTTGAGTTTTTAACCTTGTTCAGTAAAGTATTGATGATAGTACTTATTATGCAATGCACAACATTTGGCCACGCAATTGTTTGTTGTTCACATCTGTGCTAGATTTTGACATTTATTATCTTAGTAATTTTAAATATGCACCTCAATTTTTCGACTCTGAATAGAGTTTTTAAGTTTTTATTTTGAGATCCCAATATGGAGTATATTCATCTCTAACTAAGTTTGTCTTTGCAGAGTTAGATTTGATTCACTTCAATGGACGCCCTTAACGTGAACACAGAAACTGCACCAAAGGTTTATATTCTCACATTTGCCTCCATAATTTTTTGTTATTTTTTTTATTGGAAATCATGAAGTTGACTGCACTCATCATGAGTCTGGCTTTTAGGGACAAGGTAAGGGCCCCATAGTCCATATACCTTTATAACACATCTCATAGAGTTTGTCTTCATGTTGCTGTGATTCATAATAGGCTCAATGAACTATTGATCTTCCAAACACAACAAATTATCTCTCAATGAACTCATGCGCTTAACTCTGATTTGATCTCTATTACTCTCTTATTTCAGGGAGCTGAAAGCCCGAAAGTCCAGGAAGCAGGACATGTAAATATCATCGAGAACATTCCAAGTCTCACTAGAAAGAAGGAGTCCGGAGGATGGGGTTCCGCATTTCTTTTGCTAGGTGCTTCTCCCCTTTTTACTTCTTCCGAAATTCCCCCCAAAACTATGATAAATTACGAAAAACCTTTCTAATATTCACCTAAAAATTACATTCACTTTGTCCTTTCAGCAAATCAAGGCCTGGCAACACTAGCTTTCTTCGGCGTAGGAGTGAACTTGGTATTGTTTTTCACCCGAGTTCTGGGTCAGGACAATGCCTCTGCAGCTAACAACGTCAGCAAATGGACCGGCACAGTCTATCTATGCTCCCTCGTGGGGGCATTCCTCAGCGACTCCTACTGGGGACGTTATCTCACTTGCGCCATTTTCCAAGTCATCTTTGTCGCCGTAAACATTCACCTTCAATTGCAAAAAAAAAAATAAAAAAAATAACTCTGTTATTTTTGAATAGATTCATTATTTATCAAAACAATAATAATGAAAGAAATATTTTTATGTTTGTGTGTGTTTTGGTTTCCAGGGCCTGGTGCTTCTATCCGTGTCCTCCCAGCTCCTCCTGCTCAAGCCCGCGGGCTGTGGGAACAACAAGCAAATATGCGTCCCTACCAGCCCCTACGCCTCGGCCCTTTTCTACCTAGCCATCTACCTAGTGGCCCTGGGCTACGGGGGCCACCAGCCAACCCTAGCCACTCTTGGGTCAGACCAGTTTGACGAGTCTCAGCCGAGGCAGAAGAAGTCCAAGGCGGTCTTCTTCTCATACTTCTACTTTGCCCTCAACCTCGGCTCCCTCTTCTCCAACACTGTCCTCGTATACCATGAGGACGCCGGCCGATGGGCCCTTGGCTTCTGGGCGGCCACTGCCTCAGCTGTCCTGGCCCTGGCTGCATACCTGGCAGGCTCCCCTGGGTATCGTTACATGAAGCCGAGCGGAAACCCGGTCACGAGGGTCATACAGGTGTTTGTGGCCGCAGTCAAGAAGTGCAACGCGGTTAAGGCTGACGCAGACGAGCTGTACGAGGTGGAGGGCTCCAAGTCCGCCATTAAAGGGAGTCGCAAGATTTGCCATACACAAGAGTTTGGGTACGTGACTGCATCCCCTAGTATTGATGATTCTTGAATTAATTTTGAAAAACTAAATATTAAAATCCGGCAGGTGGCTGGACAAGGCAGCCACGATAACTGGCAGCGACAGTCTCCCGTCCCCCGACCCTTGGAGGCTGTGCACAGTGACTCAAGTGGAGGAAGCCAAGTGCATACTGCGCATGCTCCCCATCTGGCTCTGCACCATCCCTTACTCGGTGGTGTTCACCCAGATGGCGTCGCTCTTCGTGGAGCAGGGTGACCTGATGAACACCCACCTCCCGGGCACCCGCATGCGCATCCCTGCCGCCAGCATGACAGCCTTCGACATCCTAAGCGTCCTTGCCTTCACCGGAATCTACCGCCGCTTCATTTCGCGCCTCCACCCCACAGAGCTCCAGCGCATGGCCGCTGGCCTCGTTGTTGCGGCTCTGGCAGTGGCGGCAGCCGGAGCCCTGGAGGTTGTGCGGCTGAGGGCAGGGGCTCCGGTGAGCGTACTGTGGCAGGTGCCTCAGTACGTGCTGGTGGGGGCCTCGGAGGTGCTCATGTACGTGGGGCAGCTCGACTTCTTCAACGGGCAGGCGCCGGATGGGGTGAAGAGCCTCGGGAGCTCCCTCTGCATGGCATCCATAAGCCTCGGGAATTTTGCCAACAGCTTGCTGGTGAGTTTGGTGACGGTGGTGACGACAAGGGGTGGGGGGCTCGGGTGGATACCCCAAGACCTCGACAACGGGCACTTGGACAGGTTTTACTTCTTGGTGGCCGGGTTGACCGGCGTTGACTTCTTGGTCTATTTGGTGTGTGCGAGGTGGTACGGCAGGAAGGGGGATGCGGCCGAGGAGGAAGGTGATGGTGATGGTGATGGTGGTGGCCAAGTGGAGGGGCAGTGAATGAGTGGGTCAGTTGGGGTTTTCACCTTCTCACTTGTTATTGTCATACACAGACTTTGTTGGTTGGTAATGTGCTCGTTTATTTGCTATTGGGAGTGTGTTTGGAATTGTCTGATTTTATTTAAAAATAATGGACCTTTATGACGCTTGAATTGTTATTGTTTATAATACATTTAGTCAATTTTCATGGGTTATGCTCCACTTTCTACCACTAAACTAAAAATTGACCTAAGCAGCACCATTTTGTGCTACCAGTCATTATAGACGCTTGAACGATTACGAGATGTCTAGATTGTGAAGTTACTAAGACTTGGCCCAACTAGACGCATTATGTGGTTTTGCCGAAGCCTAGGCGGCCATTTTTTTTTTAAATTGCTTTTTTTTAAAAAAAAAAATTAAGAAAAATAATATAATTTTTTATGCATGAAATCTACATTGATTTTGTAATAAAAATATTGTTAATCATATTAAAACTAACACAAGAACTATGAATGTATTGTGTTTGCATAACTTTCGTATTAGACCATATTAAATACTATATATTTTGTATAGAATATTTTATAACTTATGCATGATAATAATAAGTATAAATAAATTTATTAATATTTTAACAACCCCATCTAGATGCCTTAAGTAGTGGTCCCCACCGTAAAGTCGGTGCCTCGCAACTTTTTTTTTTTTTTATCAAACGACAAATATTATATAAATAATTAAAAGCCAATACAAAATTAGGCCACACTACCTTAGATTTAGCCCAAACTACAAAGGGGATATACAATTAAAATCTGAAAACACAAAATGGGAAAAAAACGCTCCTCCTACAAGGGAGACTATAACTCAAACACAAATGAGAATAAAACAACAAAACACTTAAATACAACACACCTACAATAGAAATACAATTAAACCTCTCGAACCTCTCGCAAGCCTTCTGCTACTACCGCACAATCTAACACATAGACCAATCCCCTCCAAATCTGAGAACTCTGGACTGGACTGAAACGACTAACAAAATCTTGCAAGGAAACAAAACTCGAGCTCATATTTGCACCCCCTAAAAAGTTTCTAGCCTGAAGAGAGACTAAAAGCCGAGAGATCCATCCCGGCTAGCCTCACCGGAAAAACCACTTTTGTCGGCCCCAACCTAAGACCGAAAAGGTAGGAAAAAATTTTATATTTATTTAAAAGAAAGTCAAGCTAAAGAAAAATGAAATGCAGAAATGAACTATGCTCTTCAAAAAGAAACGGGATGCTACATCTCAGTCCAGCCCATGATCCTCCGCTTCATGGCTTTGGGGATTTTCATCCTTCGAAAATTTGGCCGCACTAAGTTCAAGATGTTGAGAACCTCCTTCACGTGGTTCTGGTACATCGTTTCCGAGAGGACAACCTTTGTAGGAGTTTCCATCCACTCGAGAGTAGTCAGCACTCTCGACTACTCCTACACCGGCCTCTCCTCCTCAATTTACTCCCATTTTGCCGCCACTCTCCCCACCTTGTCTTAGGCTTTCATCTTCAACTATGACATCCTCGTCTCCTTGGTGATCGACCAGAGACATGTTTTCGTGCAGGAAGCAAGGACACGTTTTTTGTCTTCAGCCACATGGCCCACCTCTAATATGAGAATAGTGGAGATTGCCAGCACTTCGGCAGGCCGCAGGTGGCAGATACATCCCATGCTTCTCTCATGAAAATTGACATTTTTGGCTGAAACACGTTGAATATTGAGGAGAAACTGAAAAATGTACAAACATGTACAAGAAGTTGATATGCGTATAAAATGCGACAGACCCGCGCAATTAACCGGACTGTTCACATAATTCTTCTCATATACGTCGCCTATATGTCGCTTAATATATTGCATAATATTTACGCACTTCCTCAATTAACTTTGCTTATCCGTGTTTGTGTATATGTCCTAGGGACAATCTTTTTGAGGACATATACACATAATCACGTTAATATTATATTGAATTATAATTATGGTATTGTAATTAATTAAATAATTGTTTGACTGTTTGCAATTTATTGGTTAATTGCTCTCTTGAGTTAATGTTGTCATTAACATAGTGAGATGTTAATTGATATAAAATAACTCTCAAATCGCCTCAATCGACGATCATTAAGAAATGGATATTAATGATACGTGATAGATTGACATGTGGTTTGCATCATATTCTTGAAGAATATAGTATGTCTCACTACTATGAATAATTGTTATTCGTGATAGACACATGGATACTTTGGAGAGTATTGGTATACCTTACCGATAAACCATTTCTTATTTGTCTATAGAAGTATCAGTTTGTGGAATGGTGTAATAGTCCTTGGACTTGAGGTCAATACACAATTCATATATAGAGTGATTTACTTAAACCTAGTCCAACCCTTAGGCTCCTTATGGGGGTAGATACGGGCTTGTGTCGGATTGATCACGCTATACATAGAATTGGTAGTTGAGCCAAGATAGGATAATTCCTCAAATATAGTCTCTATACTGGGTTCTACAAAGTCATTGGTCAATGCACGTGATTATATTTGAAATGATGTTCAATATAATTAATTAAAAACAACCAGTAAGATGAGATAAAATGATTAAGCTGTTTAAATAGACAAACGCTCAAATCCTAAGCTTAATCGAGTGGTTCGTGAATGAAGGGACCGTATCACCATTTGAGTTCTGCACTTAAGGTTTGTTTGCTTTGTCTATTAGACGTACTTCATATTTTGAGTCCATTCTTCGACGCAGTTTAGGAGTTTCGTAAGGATCATTTTATGTCAATATATGAACGCCTACAGGGGGTCACAATATGAAATCAGTTTCTGACTAAGAGTGAATCGAGAGTGTTATATGTTCAATTAGATTGAAATACTTATTTAGGAGTAATGAGATTATTTTTTATTTGATAAAAAATATTTAATTAAGTTAAATTGGATATATACTTAATTAAATTATTAATTGGATTAGGTACAATTGCCTATTGGGCTATTGTATCTCCCAAGGCCCATATAATTAGGTTTGACCTAATTAGAATTAAATTATTATCTCTTCATAGTCTTAATGAGATAAGAGAAAAGAGATACATCGTGAAATCAGAAAACACTCTCTAGCTTTCTGACTGAGGATTCCGAGCTTCTTCACCGGAAGGGTTTTATTAGTGTTGGATCATGCATCGAGAAATTAGACTGCGTGGATAGTCGAGGTGCAAAGCATACGAACAATTGTAAGTTTTCGATTTTATTCACGCGACCTAGGGTCATATCGAATAGCTACAGTCGAATCTTCGTTGTTGGTAGGAAAATTTTAAAATTCCATTGCGCGTACACTAGGTTCGTACGTCTAAAATCCAACAATCCGTCGCATATTTTATCGCATAATTATTTCGCACTTGCTCAATTAACTTCTTTTGTCTGTCGCATAGTTTATCGCATAATTATGTTGCACTTGCTCAATTATCTTCGCCCTTCTGTCATGCCACATAGTTTGTATCACATAATTATTTTCGCATGTATGTCGCATAATTTGTTCCGTACTTAATGGGTGAAAAAATTAACTTATAATTGCCTATATGAAACACTTAGTATATCTTTAGATTGTAAATAGATATTTACACTAGAGAAAAATGTATAAAACTATTAGCTGAGAAGAACTTACTAAAAAATAGGCTTACAGACACCTTGATCAAGGTGCAGCTTTGTGAAATCTGGAGATAGTAGAATTGTAAGAAAATAAAATTTTGTAAACCTCGATTTTGCCTGTTTACCTTATTAGTACTGAAATGCAGGCTGTAATCTAAATTAGATTTCGTAAATACAATTGCCTGTTAAAGTATGTTGTTACGTTAACGAATGAGTTGGTTACAATCTTTTCTTCTTGTTTCTTTCTGAAAATTTCAAAAATACTGAAAACTTTGTGATCTTTAAGATTATTTCTAAATCGATCATCAGATGGTCGGAATTTGTTGTTGAAATAGTCCAGTAGCTGTCAATTTCATTGTTACTCAGTATACTGTAAAAAAGGGCCTTTAGAATTAGGAAAGAAAAAACTTGAAAGTGTTGTGGTTTGAGTCTGAGCTGTTGTTGACTGATGTCATGCATGGGAGCATGTTCTTTAGTCAATTAATCGGCGGTTGGCGCTCATTAATAATCCTGACGTTATGTTGTTGTTTTGTAATCATGAATTAAGGAGATAAGTTTTTGAAATACTGCTTTAGCTAACCACCTTGAGGATTTACTAAAACTTATAAGAACTCATTTATTGCATAATTTCAGTAATCATGAAGGCAGCTGGCTAGCTTTTGGCCACCTTAAGACTGCTGCATTTTAAGAAAAATCTTAAGGTTGATATTCAAAATAGTCTAGTAAATGGTTGGCAATTGAATCATTACACAACTCCAAATTTATACAACTGAACACCAAACAAATAACTATATCATCAGACTTGTTTTATTAACTGGATGGTTTCAATAGAACGCGAATCAACACGATTTTATGCGAAAAAAGCTGCCGAACTTTGTGAAATGCTCATGTACGTCGCCTAATTCATTCTAAATAAAGAATGTGAGACTTTCATTTAGTTGTAAGACGATCATTCTCATCTACTACCACGTTAGAATACCAATGTTGCTAATTTTCGTCAGAATCTCGATTTTTTTCAGGCATTGCGATTTTCCATGATAAATCATTCCATCTACCTAATTGTTGGCTCGACTATAAAATTTAAAACAAAATGCGCAATCACAGCATTGTCGTCTAATCGAATATTCGAATCACTGATCATAAAAACAATTCGATTACAAAAAAATATTTAAAAATGTTTTTAAATCCTAACACAACATACCAAATTTACCAATTATATAAGCATAAGCAAATGGTGTAATAATCCAAACATCAACCCCAAAATAATCTCTCTCAAACCAAAAACACAGACTAACTCTCCTCCTGAGTTGCTGACTCACCAGCATTTTTCTTGTTGGCCCTCATCTCCCTCAGCCCGCATGCATTGCACAGCGTCTGCAAATAAAAGTTC